TTTCCAGTGAGAATATATGGTGCAAGGAAGCCAAGAGGGTCGTATATGGAGGCAACAGTAGACAATATGCCTCTACGTGTCATTGGTTGCTCTTTCAAGGTGTTGTTGAATCTGAAGCTATCCCTCTCTATGCTCCAGTGAATCCCTAATGCTCGCTCGAGTGGCATATCATTGAAGGTCAGATCCTTGGTCTTGGCGTCTATTGCACACTCTGATGCGGGGATGCTCTGTAGCAGGGGTTCTTAACCTTTTTGACCTCGGGGCCCAACTTTTCAAGTACAAAGTGTCCCGGGGCCCATTCAAATATTAACACTATTAGTTTAACTAATTGATCTCACTCTTGGTTTGATTTGTATTCAATAACTATATTGTTACCTGTTCAACTCCACCCCTATTTTGGAGCAAAACCGCCTAAAATGACATACCCAAATTAAAATGGCTGTAGCTTCTGAACCACTCTGACTACATGCATCAAAAGTGTCAGAAAACCTGTAGGTCATACAGAAACAGAGCAGTGGGCCTTTGGTCAGTACAAATTGAAGATTTTTGTCCGCATAAAATAAAAAAGTATCTTTCAGTATAAATAACTGCCTGTGGCTGTGGCTGTATCTGTACAGGTAAAGGACAGTATAGGGCTGTAACTACACTATCAGTTAACTGCCGCCTCAAATTTAAAGAAGATTGGACAAAGTATGACCATTCTACAGTGTTTCTTCCATGAAGAGATCCAGGCGGAGCTCTAAAACGATATTTGGAGACCCAAATGGACACATGGTAACCAAATGATATTCTGACACACTAAAGGCGTTTCTCCCTTTATATTTTGATATTATATTATTTTCCTTTTATTTTTAGCCTTTGCAAATTGCAAAAACTATGTATATATGGTCGAAGACGTGGTGTGTGAGTCGCGGACTTGCTGTGCGTAATGGCTGCGTCCGAGCGCACGATCGAGTATGAGGGTAGCTCAGTTACGCAAGGTTATACGTTGGTTCACGGCTTACGTAAGATGAAGATAAGGTTTGTACTATAAGTACTAGCGTTTTCTGAAGCCACTAGCTCCATGGTAACATCCGCTAGCACATTGTCGGGTCTGTAATGTGTCTCTTTCCGTCGAAATGCTGCAAGATCCGACTTGCAGCGGGTATGGCGACTTTGGACAGTGTGTGTTTGGGTTCCTTTTGTGAAAAATCCATAAGAAATGAAAGAAAATCGATGATTTCTTTGCAAAGATGAGGGTTTTGGGCATGCTGGGATACCAAACACGGCCATGTTGTGACGTAGTTTGCGCAAGCAAGCCGTAGGAACGGAAGGGGAGGGGATCGAGGACGCCGGCGTCCTCGCAGAGTTGAACAGGCAAAATCCTTGTCAAATAAATGAGATGATACAATGTGATGATCACAAAGACATTTATTTATCATGTATATGTAAACCTGCATACACAACAAGAAGCCCAACAGGCTTTCCCACGAGCGTTGGATGTTTCGTCGCTAGGTGTCGCTTTAGTTTCGAAGGCTTCAGTGCTTCGTTTGGTAGCATTAGCCCACATTCCACACACTGAGCCCTCGGCTCTGCCTCGTTGCCTCCGTTCACAAAGCCGTACTTAAGAAAGTCAGGATTGTACTTGCGCACACATTTAGACTTTTGGGGAAGTATGGCACCACTGTCGTCTTCATTTTTTCTTTATCCATAACTTATCCACTCAGCTAGCCGCTACAGGCTAGCGGCTAGCTGAGTGTCGTCTTCTTCTGCTTATTGGAGCTTGTTAAACAACTGACTGACGCATTACCGCCACCAGGTGGTGGGAAGCTATATTGTAACTGAGCGCCTCATGGATAACTAATATCTCTGGTGTCTTCAATTGATAACCTATGCGGTCCCGCGGCCCTCGCGGCCCACAGGCGCAAAACTGAAAGTTTTTTGCGGCCCTCTAGGTGGCGCTCGCGGCCCAATCGTGGGTGTTAGTGTTCTGGGACAGTTATACCCAATCAAGAGTCCTACATCACAGCTGAGAAGAGGTGGCATCTTACCTGCGATCGATGTTAAGTGAGGCCATTGTTTTGCAGTTTCGTGAGTGGGAATATGATCACGATTCACAGGAATGCAGTCCTTGGTATAACAAGGAGGAAGGTTGATGTGAACATGTGAATTGTAACCTCTCACACGTAGTCCAGATACCCTTTCACTTTTCACAATCATGTTCTCTCCAAGCATAGTGGTAAGTTTCAGTTTCTCAGGGTAGGCGTCTGCTTGTAGTTCATTGCTTGTCTCCTTGTTGATGAGGTGCTGTCACTTTGAGTGTCTAGTAGTGCGTATACAAGCTGTTCCTTAGATGGGTTTTCAGTAGAGGACACCCACACGGGAACGATCATGGAAGTGCTGCCTGACTGACTACCTCCAGTGACGCTGAGTGCTGTGGCTGTCATGGTTTCATTTACAGTGTTTGGAGCTGTGTTAGCAAAGGATACAGACCTTTCTCTACCATCACGTCTTCTGTAGTTCTCATCATGGAGACAGGTAGGGTGCCTTCCCTTATATATATCACAAGAATGGCGGTGACGACATTCCTTGGCACTGTGACCTGGTTTCACACATCCATAACACAGCTTGTTATCCTTCACGTATGCTCGTCGATCCTCAAGGGACTTTTCTTTGAAATCAGGGCACTTGGGAAGTTGATGCTTGTCATCTTTGCGCCACATACAGGGGGACCTTGGTTTTCCATTGTTTAATGTTGAATTGTCACTGTTCATGGCAGATTGAGTGATGAAAACATTGGCTTTGTTTCCCTTTGTTTCCCTTATGTATCCTTTGTCATAAGATGAATTGAATGAGTGAAGAGCATATAGGGAAGTGACTGGGTTGCATGCTATCTCTGCTTCCAAAGACACAAAGTTAGTGAAATCCTCAAAGGTGGGAAACTCTTTTCCTTCCATGAGGGCTATTGTAACCCGACGATTCCAACTTGATGCTAACCAGTCAGGAACCTTTTGTATTAGCTTTACGTTTTCTTCACAGTCACTTAATATTTCTAAACCCTTCACATGGGGCGTGGCTTGAAGACAGGCACTTAGGAAGTCTGAGAATGTTCTTAACCCTTCAGCATCCTTGGGCTGAATTTTTGGCCATTTTGATAGCTTGTCCCTGAAAGCTCTTTGGATGACAAAGGGCAGACCGTAGCGTTGGTTGAGCTTATTCCATGCATCTCTATATGCCTCATCATCATTGCGATAGAATGTGCCTTCGAGACATTTATGCGCAGGGCCACTGACGTATTTCTTTAGGCAATACAGTTTATCAGCTGAAGAAATACCCTTTCGGTCAACAAGTGACATGAACGAAGCCCTCCATTCAATGTACAGGATTGTATCTCCACTAAACACTGTGGGCGTTGGCACTGGGAGTCTGTTTATGGCTATGCTGTCTTGGATTGCTTGGGGTAGACAGGACATGTCATTAGCGGGCTGGTGTCACAATGTGAGGGTTTTGATGGTATATAGCAGGGTTGAAAGGAATGAAGGGGGATCTCTTCTGCTGAATGGACTGTCTATCGGTTTCTTGTCTGATTTCTCTGTCGTAGATCTCCAGTCTAGCACAAGCAACATCCATATCTCTTTCTACTTGTAGACGCTCTAATTCAGACATCTGCATTTCTAATTCCTTCCTATGGTTTTCCTCCATTATCCTTGTTTTTTCCTTTTGCTTTCTTTCTTCTTGCAGTATTTTATACTGAGCCTCCTTTGCAGCGAGCTCTGCGTCTGCATCAGCCCTTTTTGCAGCTATGATCGTTGAAGAGTGGTGACTGCCACTTGACTGAGAAGCAGTGCCATATACAGTAAGCATAGTCGTGGGCATATAACTGATGGAGACGGTGCCTTTCACGTACTACATCATAATCGCCATCTACTGCTGATAAGCGTTCATGGACTATCTTTATAACGTCTTTAGTTACAGCCTCACATGCATCAATCTTGCGTCTCAACTCAGTGGATGGTGTGGCACGCTCTCTTATTTCATTGTAAGCTCTCATGACATCATCCATTCCCTCTTCAATGTTGTCTGCTATTGTAGACAATTCAGTGACTGATATGTCTTTCTTTAAATTGTCTTTAGATGTTCTGATTTTAATTTCCCATTGATCATACAGGTTTAGGAGTCTTTTTTCCCTTTTACTCAGTTCCTCCTGTTGGTAGGTAAGCATTTTCTCTGTTTGCACACTTTGACGTTCTGATCGCCGTGGTAACGTTATACATTAGCGTCAACCATTTCAAGTTGAAGCCCAGCTAGTTGTTTTTCCTTACATTCAATTTCTTCCTTTAATTCTTGCTTCGACATGACTTCATAATCATCCAGATGTAGTAAGCCTCTAATTTCTTGTATTTCCGTTTGTAGCTTATGTATCTGATCCTTTATGGCATCCATTTTGAACGTAGTTTTCGTTACCGCCTCTGTTGACCATCACGCTAAGTGCTGCAACTCGCTGCTCTGTGGCCGTGCCGTCTTTGTTCCACAAGCAGCGGGGTGTAGCAGGTGAAGGTGAAGTTCTTACTGTAGCATCCCGGCTGAATAATGGTCTGTAGTCTTGAACTGATGGTCCATAAGTCTTTAATGAATCACACCTTGAGAACTTGTGCCTATATCGGCCAGGTGCTAAAATAATAAAACCGTATCCAACTTCCTTGTTAAAACACTTTTTCCATCCCTTTAGTGACTTTTCTAACGGCTTTCTAACGGCTTCTTACTTCCGGTTTGTATACCTTCAAAATAAATGCGCAACAGGAAATGCACCGACTGCAGTGACAAAACGTCCAAAATAAAAGACATAAAGGAACAATCTATTTAAATACACTACACATTCTCAGAGGTCCTTTACACCTTTTCCTACCGTTACAGGTCAAAATTTCTTCTGAAACACGCCATGTATGCACAATATTTGCCCCGTGTATCAGTAAAGCAATATTATTGGTGTAACTCAGCTTCTATGTCTGGAGTGTACTCACGCAGCACGATGAGGACAGACCAGCTGCTTGGGCGTTTGGCTCCGTGGTCCAGGTCTGAGCACCTGAAGGCTCATTTTCCGGCTCATCATCTATGAACACCACTCCCTGCTCCAGACGCTGCCTTTTACGCTGCCGACGAACAAACAGAGACTTTACTCCACTGAGCTGCACATCACTCAACATTCACATCACTCAACCAGCAACAACAAAAATACTTCACAAGACGGCCTTCTTATCATCATACACATTATTTTGAAGAATGCTAATGGGGGGGGGTGTAAGGTTAGCTCTCGCTAACCTTACACTCTCCACTAGAACCTACCCGATCGGTACTGCGCGTGTGCAACTGTCACCAGAGATGAGAACGAAGAGAGGTAGCTCACTCGTTAGCTACTTCCTTCCTCACTTTGCACATGTGCAGTACCGATCAGGCAGGCTGTTCGGATCGGGGTGCGAATGACATGTGCCGTTGTTCGAGGGTAGAATGTTTTTGTTACTGGCAACAGCACGACGTGGTGGGTTGCCAGGTTGGCTCTACCAAAAGAACATTAGATTTCCCACAATTTAAGCTTCTACATTTTCCAAATGCAATAATATTATTCAAACGTATTGTTCGGTTCGTAAGCCTCGTACCGAATGGTTCAATACAAATACGTGTATCGTTACACCCCTAGTTACTGCCAATCACTTGTGGAGAATATTCAGTGAGAATCTACGACCCCTGATAATGCTACATTATGAACAACAAATCAAGAGGAGAGCTAGTAACGGTGGCAGCTAACGTACAGAAGTTCCATTGAGTAACATTAGGATGTGTTCATGCTCTATTCAGTACAAATGAGCATTGGGTTAAGGTCAATTATGAGGTTATCTGGATGTGTTCAAATGTAATTTTGTGAAATACAGAGAAAATACAATAAAAACAGTTGTTTGAAGGATATGTTTTCACAGCAATATAAAATGGAGAGAAAATTATGAACATATAATATATAATTAAAACTAAAAGAAATCAATAACAATAAATGGTAAATGGTCTGGACCCTGCTCTACCACTGAGCCACAGTCGCCCCAAATACAATCATGTATTTCCGAATTAGGGATTAGGGCCCGATACTGTGTTCATGTACTCCTACTCGCAGAACTACACTGATACCACAACGGCAACATGATGTTGAGAGAAAGTGAGAGTGAGAGTAAGCCTGGCATCACATTAGAGAGTCCGGTCGTCGAGAGAGGAAGAGCGCATGTGCGACGGTAAGTATGAAGGTTAGCAGTAATGTTACAGCTGTGAACGCAGCAGTGCGTCTCTACAGTTTATTTGTCGGTGAGTAAATTCTTCAACTCCTCAAAAGTTGAAGAATTAACCCAAGTTAAGTGTCTTGCTTGTCAATCAGCTGATGATGAAAGTGAATTCTCCCTGAAGTTAGCAGCAGAGTCAGCTGCTCCGGCTCACTTAAGGAGGAGCAGCGCTAGTCTCCCTTAAGTGACAAGCTGCTCGGTTTATATTTTTTATATTTCTTTTAACTGTTCAACTGATTTACGGTCAAACAGTTAATTATTAACATCCCCGCTGCAAAGAACAATGCTCTGTTTGTATCAGGAAAATACAATATTGAATTGTCAGCAACAAAGTTATTGTTAGGTAATGGTATTATTAAGTACTTGTATTGGTACTGGCATGTTCTCAAAAGTAAGTACTTGGTCTGATAAAAAGTGGTATCGGTGCATTATTATTCTTAGTCATTTGAATTGTAAGTTTTTATGCGAAAAAAAGATTATAGATGACAGTAAACAAGTAAAAGCACAGCATGTAGGCCAGATTGTTTGTTTACACTAACTTTGAGATGGCTGAAACTATTTTTAGGGAGCCTTGTATATCAGCTGCTATAACAAGACAAAACAACAAAAAAAGATCTGTATCGGCTAACTGACCATCCGTTATGTGTATCAGCGGCAAAATAACGTGATTAGGGCATCTCTAAAAGTTGACTCAAAACCATGATAGGATCCAAAGTTTCCATGAGTTTTGTAATTAGTTACACCTATATGATAGGAAACACACTATTGACAGTACTATACTGTGAGTTACCATCAAATCTAGTACTTACAATACGGCAACCTCATCGTACCACTGCAGATATTGGTATTCCTTTGTTTTAAGAAAGAAATATTCACCCTTTAAATTTGATATACAGTAAATTCAGTATAAATGTACAACAGTATATACAAAGCATCTACAACACCTTGTGTTCGGCAGTGCGAATGCGCTTCCTATCTGGCTGAAAGTCGTCGTTGTCGTCGTCCTTCTCGCGGTCAGAGCTGGACAGGAACTTCTCAGACAGACGAGAGGCTATGGACGGTTTCTTTTTTTCCTCAGGTGTTCTCACTGAAACACAGCAAGTGCAACATTAGATTATACAGGAACAGAAATGAAGTGTGGAAATGGCTTAGTTCTGGCTAGTCCTCGGTTGAATCTCATCTGTGAAGGACAATGTCTACGTTTAGCTCTGTGGACAGGCAATAGATCAATTAGAATACTGTACAAACACATCAACTACTTTCATTTGTCTGGTATTTAATTCACTGGACTGTATAAAACACAGACACTCTGATTTCTGGTCCAGAAAATGTGCTCCAACAAAAGTCAGGAACCACTGTAATACTGGATACTACTTCTACTAAAGTGCATCATTGAATTTAAGGAAATCCACGGCTGCTTTAATGTATTTAAAGAGACAGCATTGATTCTGCATCATGGTGGGCATTCATTCTGCCTCTGTGCTCCGAATTTGATGGTAAGATAACCAGAAGAAATATATTGCCTAAGGTAGAGGACTAAATTCCACTGCTTAATGCCAAAGACAGAGGAGAAAGAAAAATCCAACACTGGTTAGTTCAGCTGATTGAAAGCTCAGCTGAATTAAGGCTGTGTGACAAAATAACCTTGTTCAACGGAGCTGGTTCCCCAGTCAGATATAACAGCAACAGAGAGAGTTGTGCAGAAGACAAGGCCAGTGTGTCTGTGTTGCTCTACAGTTGTGTATGTTAATGGCACACATAAAACACGCTAATGCAGATTGGATGGGATTACCCAGATGTGCCAATCAACACAAGTTGTATTTATTTTTTATTCTAGTTATTTTTCAGTTTCATAGCCTATTGTGACCTGTTGCCGTTTGGGAAATGTTTTGTTCAGTGGGCATACAGTGCAATACCGAAGTGTTTGAAATGTTCAGTAGTTCACCAAAGTAACCAGCAGGAAAAATGTTTCCTCAGTCCACAGCGAGAGGATATTGTTGGTCTTTTACACTTGCACATCTCTCTGCTCCCGATGGTATGAACCGAACCACGACTTCTTTGTATTGTTACACCCCTAATTGCAGTGGACGTAATCAGAATCATATTTTAACCCTGATGACAAGCAAGAAGATGTCAACGCATGAAGAAATCTTCACAAATTGATCAAACTTAACAAGAAATATAAAACATAAAAATTTCACAGCTACCAATTGTTGACATGCCAATTTTGTGTGCATCAAGTAAAAAAAAAAAAACTCTCTATATGAAAATACCATTGTGATGCAGGGGAGGTAAAAAGAACAGTTATGTAGGTCTCAAATGCCTCCACAAATAAAACTAAGGACTGAAAAATACATACTCTGTTCAGGTGCTGGAAGCTGTGTCGACTCTTTGCAGGGTGACACAGTGAGGTCCACAACATCAGGTTGGGCTGCTGTTGTAGCTGTGGTACTGTTGACTTTGATGTGGCACACACACTGACAGGGCGTTGTGACATCTGACTTCTTAGAGACGCCACAGCTTTTATCCGACTGGCTCTTGTCCTCCAAAAGGCTTCCTCCCTCTTTAAGTTTATCTGTCATCACACAATGAAACACAGAGACAGTGACCCTCAGCTGGAACATGGTGTCAGAAATATCTACAATATCAAAAACAATTTACAAACAAGAAAGTAGTGAGAAACAGACATATCTGCAATGTGGATTTGGTTAACAAACAGTTAACTGCTTTTAGACCAGGAAAGCACAAATCATACCATTACAACAACACAAAGTCTTGTATAGCCTCACATCAATATATAAATATATCATCTGGCTTAAGTGAATGGAAAAAAAAAAAAAAAGCATGCCAACATGAAAACATCCAAGGGACACTTGGTGAGATCTAATTACAATAAGACAGACTTCTGCTCCAATTAGTCTGTACATCACAGGTTAAACATTGAGTTTGAGGATAGGCCTTCTTGCCGATACAATAGTTTTGGTTCTTTGATCTCAGTCAGAGCAGACATACCTAACTGAGCCCGCTGCCAGCTCAGAGCCGAGCAGAGCAGAGCCAAGCTCTTTCCACTTCCCGTGGGACTCTCCAGCAAACAGTGCTGCCCATAGTTCAGTCCTCGTACGATCTGCAGGCAAGGTACAGACACAATCCTTAATGCCAAATCTATATGTAGTATTGCACCATTTCAAGTAGAACTGTTTTTTTCAAGGATATTTGTAGTTTTTCCGTATATAATTTGAGGGAAAACAGCGCCTCCCCCACTGAAAGCTGCCGGTATAAATAATGGAAGGAAGGATGAATGGAAAAGTATTCACTGGTTTGTTTATGGTTAGAATAATAACCAATGGCCCTCTAAACAAATACACTGTGTACGATGGCTTAAACATCACCTGAGCAGATACAAAAGGCCCTTTTCACAGATGCCATTTTCAAATGTCATAGCAGGGTAAACACAGGTGTAAATGACTTCCTTACACCGTAATATCTCATTATTATTATTATTATGCAACAACCCAGTAAATTGTAATAGTGCCACACAGTGGCGGCTGGCCAATAGAAGGCCATGGGGCCTGGCCCAACCTTGAGCCACGCAAAAAAAAAAAAAAATAATAAATTATACAAATTGTCAATATTTGTGTTTTTGAACTATGGAATGTCCCCAGTAATATGTGTAAAATATGATATCTGCGCAAAATATATGCTTTTCCTGCTCGTCCTCTCCGCCTGTGTGCACGACACGTCTCAGAACTCGCAGCTAGGGGGGCCAAACGAATTTGGCCCAAAAGAGGCGGGTCTATGAAGCAGTTTAGCCAATTGCTAAAGATATAAATGAGTGACATACAATTTAGCCAATCAGCGTCCTCAAATAGATTCAGCTTGGGGCGTTCTCGTCAGGAGAAGACTCTACAGGGGAGCACTACTCCTCCAAGACCCGTTTGAGAGGAGAACTTTGGCGGAGATTCTGCAGGCCAAAGAGCTGATCCCAGATCAGCATGACCTCACAATCAGACAGCAGACTAGCAGGAAAGGGAAGCAGTACATGCGAAGCTTCTCTACTAGCTGTACCAGACAGGTTTGGCTAGCTGGATGCAGTCATGCTAATGTCTTAAAACATCGGGGACAGATCCAGCACGGACAGTTAGGGAGTGAGGGATGAGGAGGTAAGGAAACATGAGAACACCAGGACACACATGGAGAACTCTGTCAAGCTACATATTAGGCAAAGTGAACATCTTTTCTTCTACATAGTTGTCCTCAGTCTCATCTGCTTAACTTGGTCATGGAGGCATCAACATTTAATTGAGATGGTAAATTAACAGTGAAAACTCATCATAGCTTAATTTAACATCAGTATTCATAATTACACTTCATGTTTACTTCTCCTGATCTTTACCTCCTATAACAAGGTCCATAGGGGGATCTCAATAAATAAACAAGCTAGCTCTCTCTCTCTCTCTCTCTCTCTCTCTCTCTCTCTCTCTCTCTCTCTCTCTCTCTCTCTCTCTCTCTCTCTCTCTCTCTCTCTCTCTCTCTCTCTCTCTCTCTCTCTCTCTCTCTCTCTCTGTCTCTCTCTGTCTCTCTCTCTCTCTCTCTCTCTCTCTCTCTCTCTCTCTCTCTCTCTCTCTCTCTCTCTCTCTCTCTCTCTCTCTCTCTC